AAAACTAAAATTTATATTTCATGTGTAACCTCCTTTTTCAAGGAGTAATGCAACTGTATTCGTCCTTGTTAATTTTATTTAGATTTTTAAAGTGAAAAAATCAAAAATGATATTTTCTCATATTCTTAAATTACTACCTCTGTTCTTACTTTTGTTTACCTATTTTTAGTTTTTGGAATAATTCTTTTTATTTATTTTTATTCTTACTATTAAATAATTAAGGCATTTCAGGAAGGACATTTCTATGAGTATAGTGTTGGTTCTCTCCACTATTTTGTTCTTCTATTTTTTTTTTTCCTAACAGATTTACAATTGTCATTTATTGACCAAATTTTTGTTTAGAAATGCAGTGTTTATTTATTATAGATATTTCCTTGCTAATATTTAAATAATTTATTTTATTTATTTCNGTCTGTTGCTTCTCATTCAAAAAAAGTCTCATTTAGCTACTTTATGAGAGTAAGTCTCCCTGATTTCTCAGTTCTGTAAGTCTCTTGACTTCATCATATTGATTTTATTCTGTGGGATCGACTCTTTATGGCTAATTCCTCTTCTGTCACTGAGTTCCTACTCCTGGGTTTCTCCAGCCTTGGGGACTTGCAGCTTGTCCTCTTTGTGGTCTTTCTCTGCCTCTATCTGATCATCTTGAGTGGAAACATCATTATCGTCTCAGTCATCCGTTTGGATTGCAGCCTCCACACCCCCATGTACTTCTTCCTGGGTGTCCTTTCTATCTCTGAGATCTTCTACACAATTGTTATCCTGCCCAAGATGCTTATCAACCTGCTCTCAGTATTCCGGACACTCTCCTTCGTGAGTTGTGCCACCCAGATGTTCTTCTTCCTCGGTTTCGCTGTCACCAATTGCCTGCTTCTGGGAGTGATGGGTTATGATCGCTATGCTGCCATCTGCCAGCCTTTGCACTACCCCATTCTCATGAGCTGGAGAGTATGTGGACAACTGGCAGCAACTTGTGTTGTTAGTGGCTTCCTAATATCTCTTCTGGGAACAACTTTGGTCTTTAGCCTCCCTTTCTGTGGCTCCAACAAGGTCAACCACTACTTTTGTGATATTTCACCAGTCATCCGTCTTGCCTGTGCTGAAAGTTACACCAATGAACTAGTCATCTTTATCTGTGGAGTCTTGGTGCTTCTTGTGCCCTTGATCTTCATCTGCATCTCTTATGGCTTCATTGTCCACACCATCCTGAAGATTCCATCAGCTGAAGGCAAGAGAAAATCCTTCTCCACCTGTGCTTCCCATCTCATTGTGGTCATTGTTCATTATGGCTGTGCTTCCTTTGTCTACCTGCGACCCTCTGCGAAATACACATCAGGCAAAGACAGGCTGGTGACAGTGACCTATACCATCATCACCCCACTGTTGAACCCCATGGTGTACAGCCTCAGGAACAAAGATGTACAGCTGGCCATTTGGAAAATGATTGGGAGGTCTGGATTTTCTCTTAAGACTTTATAATCAGAACACTTTTCAACAGTGCATACACGTTTTGGGCTAATTGTGTCACTAATTTTTTAATTCATGAGAGCATCTAATCTTATTTATCTGTCTGTATGGCCTTGCCTAAGTTGTCTGACATTTTGGACATTAATGTTCTCCTATGTTAAGCAGGGATAGTAGTACTTCCTTTTCAGGAGTGTTGTAAAGATTAAGGAAGATGACAAAGTATCTAGCAGTAAAGGATAATTCTTTTTCTCCTCCTCTTTTCCCTCTAGAGTTATAGTTCTTAAAAAGATCTTAACAAACATTACCCCTTGCCCTACATTTCTCTTGCTTGTCCAAAATCTCTGACTGTACTCTTTGTTTAAGGTTATGTCCAGCTTAAAATGAAGCATCTGGATCTGAAGGTGGCTCAGATCTCATAGTATGACATGAAAGGAAAAAATATTACCATGCTAATAATTAGATGATTTCAGATTTGACACTGGTTAGGTCATAGTTTAAGCTATTATTCCTCTCTGAATATGTGTTTTAATACATGGGAAATGGGATAATGTCATTTTCCTTTTCGGCTTCACAGGGTTTTTGTGTATCTAATAGATAATACAAAAGCAAGCATGTGTAAAATGTAAAACTGTATAAAACGTAAGACCCGTATTAGACAAGGTTTTGCACATCTTTGCAAGGATTTTATTCCTTTCAGAGTCTCCTAAAAAGGCATTTCAGGATGTTTTTTCTGACCACTCCTTTTAACCACTCCTTATGTAACATAGAAGATAGGTTGTCAGAAGATAAATGAATTGAAAAGAATGATCCACCATCCTGTCCCACTTCAGGCTGAAGATGCTTACATGGCTTTCCATACTGACTTTATTAAGAAGAGGGAGCTACCCAGTTTCACATTTTCATCACTGTAAACATATCTCAAGATATAATATTAGAGAGAAGGATTTTGGTGGTCATCTGGTCTTACATCTTGCCTGTACAGAAATTCCTTCATTAGTTTCTCCCAAAACAACCATCCTCCTCTGACTGGGCATCAACAGCTTCACAAAATATGTATTAATGTTGTACTAAGCTCTTATTATTATTTTCCCTCATTTCAACTGATATTTGTGTCTGTGATTTTCATGCATTCTGTCTTGGGTCATACAGTAACTCTAATCCTGGTTCACAGATGTTTGAGACAGTTATGATGACAATCTGGACCTTTCTCAATACTCGTGTGAC